GTTGTTCCAGAATGACGTCCCGATAGATATGGCTTGTCATGATTCCAATTTGAACATGAAGGTCAGTTCTGGAACCCAGAATAATTCCACCCCAAACGAGCACTCCTACACCACCGTAACGGTGTCGTTCAATGATGCTTTCTTGGTGGTAACGAATACCTGGAGCTCTCCATATGAAAGTCCGGCGAGAATCAGACTGCAAGCTAAACCTGGACTCGTCGGAAAACATCACACAAGCCCACTGTTGCGGTGTCCACAGTGCATGCTCTCTACTCCAGGCTAACCGCAGGCGACAGTGAGTTGCAGTAAGTGGAACGCATCTGACAGGTCTACGAACATATAGACCAATCTGCCCTAAGCGTCTGTACACGGTCTGCCTTGAAATTGTCGTACCAGTGGCTGAAGAGAGCTGACGAGGACAGGTCTCAGGCTGTGCTCCACCTGTTTGTTTTGGCAGTAACTGCCAAATACCGGTCCTCATTTGGCGTTGTAACTCTGGGGCGACCTGTGCTGTAACGTCCACTCACATTACCATCATCTTGGAATCGTTGCCAAAGCCTGGCAATTCCAAGTTTGTCTGATACTTCCAGTTGGGTACGCCCACATTCCAAATGGCCGATAATTCTACCACTTAAAAAATCAACCAAATGCGTCCTTTGTTTCATAACTATTCAGTTATTGCACTGAAATGCTTATAAAGCGCCTGCGAACAATTTTACTTCTTTGCCTTATATATCACTCTCTTACACTCTCGTCATTGTGACGTACCATCGGTGTCATCTGGTTATTTCCTGAAATTTGCATATGACTCTTGAACATGTGTCTAGTGATTTTACAGGTGATATATTTATTTTAGAGTTCCAATTTCCCGTGACTCAGAATTATCCTTAACTTATGGACATGAGTGTATATCTACAAATTGGCCATCGATCATCTCAGACACATTGAGAATATTCACTGTAAAGAAAGGGCCACACCATCTTTCTGATAATTCAAAACTGTCCTAAAAATCATTTGGGAAGAAGATTCACTGTAGAGAATTTTGAAAGACACATCATTAACAAAAAATTCAGTGGAACTTTACTTGTTTACTCCATTTCTAAAAATCATGTTATCATCTCATTCTCATATCATTTATCATGTAAGTTATTCTCTTCTGCTGCTGCAGTTAAAGCAGCTATCTCTAGCCAGAGATGCAGTAACTGGAGGCATTTGTTTCGAATCTTGTGTGAGCATGAAAAATCTATGCGGCATATGGAATGTCACCAAAAATGGGTTCAATTACCACTACTATTGAAAACTGAATCAACTACATATGCTGCAGAGCAGCAACATACAGATTCTGGAAAGATTGGAAAGATGTGATAAAGCGATTAATAGCTATAGTTCAGTTTCTAGAGCAGCAATGCTTAGCATTTTGAGGCTCAAGCTGTATACAAATGAAATAGCATTGTTCGACCCTGTCATGGCAGAGCACATTACACACTTTAGGAAAAAAGAAATCCAAAATCATTTTCTAGGAAAAGATATCGAAATGAGATGATTAACATGACTGGAAATAAAATTCGACAACAAATTTGGAATTACAGAAAATGGCCAAATATTACTCAATTATTTTGGACTGTACCACTGATGCAAGTCATGTAGAACAAATGACCATTATTATTAGTTTCATGGATACAAAAATTGAAGGAAAAGGTCTGAAAAGTCACAAAATGTAAAAATCAAGAACATTTCCTTGGCTTCTTACCCATCACTGATAAATCTGGAGAATGAGAGAAGCTATCTTGACAGAATTAAAGAATATGGGTATTCCAACTGAAGATATGAGAGGCCAAGGATATACTAATGGCTCATATATGTGAGAGAAACGAGCCAGAGTTCAGAAACATATACCAGACATTAATCCTCGTGCCTTTTTCGCTCCATGCAGCAATTACTCTTTAAATCTTGTAGTGAATGAAGCAGCAGAAGCTTCGTCATAAGCTGTTTCATTTTTCTTAATAGTGGAAGAAGTATATGTGTTTTTAGTGGTTCCACCCAGACATGGAATGGCTTATCTCCTTTCGCTGAATCTGAAGCCTAATTGTTCAACTAGATGGTCTAGTAGAATAGATGCCATCAAACCATTTCATTACCAGTGTGCCTAAATTTATGATGCTCTAGTTGAAACTGCGAAGATAATAAGTTTGACAATAAAGTACAATATTCAGCATCATCTTTGGCAGATAAAATGAAGAATTTCAAATTTCTTGTCTCAGTTGTTATTTGGCATGATATACTTATTAACATAAATCAAGCAAGTAAAATTCTGCAATGTATAAAGACCCATCTGCAGTCAGCTCAAGTTCTCCTCATAGCTTAGTGGAGAAGGCGCAGGACAAATGTGAAATGTGAAAACAAATGTGAAAACAAATTTAGAAAGTTGTAGAAGTGAAACCAGTTTCATGAATTTCATCTCAGAAACAAAAGAAATGGCAGAAATGTTAGAAATCTGCCCTTCCTTTAAAGAAAAGTCCATCTTATCTGAAGGCAATGTAGGCTGTTTTAGTATGAGGCTCCAGATGAAAACGCACGAAGCATTAAACAGAAATTTAAAGTAGAATTTTTTCTACACTTTAGACATTACTATTTTATTCTGTAGAAGAAAGGTTTGAGCTTGTTTGGGAACATAGAGCATATTTTATTTTCATGTAAAACATAGGAACCCCTAGAAACCTTTCAAAAGGGGAACTTTTGAATAGATGCAAAGACCGGCAATTTAAACTCACATATAAAGATTCGAGTGATCTGAATGCTTTGAAATATTGTGATGACCTGTTAGATATGTCAAAACATATTGTTCCAGGAGAGGAGTCATTTACCACTTTAGAATGTATACAACAAAATCTTAAAATGCTTTCCAAATACTGGAGTGAAACTTCGAATCTTGCTGTCCTTTCCTATGATAGTGGAAAATGGAGAGAGATCTTTTTCAAAATTAAAACTTGTTTAAGATCTTTTATGATGGAGACTAAGCTGGCAAATCTTGCTGTAATTCCTACAGAGCAAGATTTAGTTTAAGAAACTGATCTTTCTGACTATGTTCGAGAGTTTTTTGGAAATGAAGGCAAGGGGGAATACATTAAAAGTTCTATAAAATTATAGGTTAGATTATTAAATAAAAGATATTATCCAGGTAAAAAAATTTCAAAATAAACATTTATACATATTTAGGCTAAGTTGAAAATATATGATGTAGTCAATTCTTTGCTTGGCATGTAGTTTTGGGTAAGTGAAATGGGCTTTCCATTTTCTAGTATTCTAAAGTTTTCTATCATTAATAAGATTTACAAAAAATATACAAAATAAATTAATGACCCCATTTTGTGGGAAAGAACTAAAAAGGCATTAGTTTTAATTTATGAAATATATTTTTAATGTTTCACAGCGATTTAACTTTATTTATCCTCCTTTATATGGATTTGTAAATTATCATGCCAATCAACCAGCTAGTGTTTTTCCTTCACCTATTTGATTTGTATTTATCTAATGACTATTTTAATAGCAGGAATGCTCTAGCAGATTTATGCAACAGACCGTCATAAAACGAATGCGCTAAATTAAACGGAATTCAATCATTTAAAAATTTTCACTTTCAATTATTTGTATCACTTGTTCTGAGATTTAATATTTTTTTCATTTCTTTTTAATTTAAAAAAGTGCCCGTGCACTGAAAGGTACTTCCGAGGGTGGGGTGCGGCACAACTAAATTTTAACGGGAGGCAAAAAGTTTAGCGCTGGCTTTGAGTACATTAATACTGTAGCGTAGATGAAGAGATCATACAAATGAACAAGCAAGTACTCATGTTTAAACTCAAAACTTTTATTAAATCGAACTGAATGAAGAACTACTTATATAGAGTTAAACATGCTGGAACATTCCAGACTCGCCATGTTCTGGAAGGATAAGAAGGAAATTTACATAAATAAGAGAACATTAATACGAAGGAAATTTACATAAAAACCAATTATCAGGCATCTTGCCTTTGGTCGGTTTCAAATCTGGGACCTTCAGGTTTCGAGTCCTGCGTCTTCTCCACTACGCTAGGAGGAGCTCAGTTGAAAGGAACAATTTTCGTTACAATACTATTTATTGTTTCTTTTACCCCTCTCTGACTTACTAATATCATTCCTTCCCAACACAAACATTGCAAATTTAACTTCAGGACAGCTATACGCTTTAAGTTTTCTCTAGCAAGTCTTGCACCTCTTTATACAAACAAGTGACTTTTCATATTATTTTTATAATCACTGCACAGAAGGTGTTTGCAGGAAATTCTTGCACTCCTCATTATGTACCCACTCTTTTATATGATGCATTTAACTTGGGGGATCTTTTCTTATTAAAAAAGCTTGAAGGAGAGAGATTATTTATTCCATGAAACTTGGTCCATTACAAATAAAAATATGGAAAACAGAGGTTGTTAAACCTTGAGGCAAAAGGTCTTTTATTTATCATCCACATCTTAAAAGTGTGTTGCTCATCAAATGCAAGAAAATAAGGTGCTAGCTACTTTCCCCCATCACACCACAATATTACAATAGATAGCATCATCACACAGTTACAATAGATAAATCATATTTTCCATACGTAATGGACATATAAACTCATTAAAATTAGGTTTAAAAATTTTAAAACACTTAACACAAGCTAGCAATGAATACATAAAACTCCTCAATTGTGCTTTGTAACAAAATAAAATTGCAGTCTGAAATGAGTAAAATAACAGCTCATGCAGCACAGTAACATCAAACTGCTTCTTTTTATATGCCCAAAGGCATGAGCTAAACCTTCTCTTTAACCCTGAATTTATGTCTGATTTACATATCTAATGTATCCTTTAATGCAGCACTACATGTATAGTTGCTGGCCAAAAGCTAACATTTCATTCAAATTTAGTAGTATTAAAAGGGAAAAAACAAACAGAGAAGGGGGGAGAAAAAAGTAGGCAGCTCACCATTTTTGGAAATATCCAATTCCATAAGAGTACTTAAATTCCCCACTTCAGGCTGAAGACGAAAAATTTCATTTTCACTCAAGCTCAGCTTTCTTATTTTAGGCAAACGAAAAATTCCCTGAAATGATAATTGAGCAAATTTCAAAGATGTTGAAGAAATGCATTACATTAAAATTTAACTGACCTTTTTTAAAAATATAATAGCAAATTAATTTCTTTATACACATATAATTAAAATTACTGCCCCAAATACTTTTCGGCATTTGATTTCTCATGCGTGTCTGTAATGATACACATCCACAATAAAAGCAGTTTAAGGTCAGCAACTCCAAAGTAAATTTGGTACATTTTCTTTTCATTTATTCATCAGATCTGATTTCTGAATATACACGCAATGATAAAATTTCTCACAGAGATGAAACTGCTTTGACAATAGTTCTTCACAATTAACACATGACAAAACATGACAATAAAATAAAGTTTTAGTTGAGAAGTGGTAAATTTTAATAGTTTACCTTCTATTTTGAGTTTCTAGATTAATGTCATCGATGTTATAAGAGGTTAGTGACATCTGAAGTATTTTTTTATAGTCATCTAACTGTTTTATCTTGAAATTGTAGTATTTCATTTTTAAATATCATTTGTCATAGTATTAGTTTTTACATGAATAATAATTTAGAGGAAAAGGTTTTTATCATCATTACAAGAAGTATTATTATTCCTATTCTAGAAATATGAATTTAAAATATGGATAATAAATAACATATATTGATTTTAAGACTACTACAAGTTCAATAATTAACTAGATGAAATATGTAAATTGGCGATGAAGATGGGAGGGAAATGTACTGAAGTGGAGCAATGTAAAAATAAAAGATGCACCTATAAAGTAACCAGACAATTTCTTATAAATAAGAAAAGATTACTAACCTTCAAATAAATTTACCTTCTTCAAAATAATTCCAAGAGAAGTCTATATAATTTTTCCAATGTTTCTTTAGGTCACCAAAACCCTGTTTACATGCATTGGAACTTACTGTTCACAAAATGTGTGTAACATTGGAAGTTGAAAAGCTCCCTATCTTTGGTTCATCTTCAATACTTTTGCACCTACATTTAAAGTAGTTGTACCACTCACACACTTCTGTTCCAGATAACGATGCATAAAAATATGCTGTTTGAACTATCTCTAAAGTTTTGGTAATAGATTCATACAATTTGTAACAAAATGTAATGTTATAACATTATCCCATCTAAAAACAAAAATTTTTATGGAATGTCTTCTCAATGACTCCATTTTGATATACAAATGGCAAAATGACAGCTTAACTGGCTTCAAGAACAGTTCAGATGTCACTCTTTCTATACATACATCTATTCTTTCACTTTTTTATTTCATCCTTTGGTCTTTTAATTTGTCCAATTACTTTATGACCACAGAATACAAACTATAAACTGAAAAGAATCATATTTTTCTTACATGAGACTTTACATAAAACATCGGGATCTTTGTTCCTCAAAAAAGATAAATAAATTTAGTTCCTGCCAAGATTTTACTTATAAAGAACATTAAAAATGAGTATTTTACATTTTTAGCTGTAATAGAAAATATAGGGAACAGTAGCACTCCTTTGGCCTAGTGGAAGAAAAAGTATTTTTCGAATATGAAGGTGAAACAAAAACAATTAATGCATAAGGGGATGCTCTAGTAATTACTTACAAAAGCCTCTCTGTTCCTTGAATAAAAGAAACTGGCCTTTTCGATCTATGTTAAACATTCCATTATATTAAAAAAATTAAAAGCATACATTATTATATAAAAAAAATACTTACATATGAAAAAATTAATATTTCTTCATTCATTAAAAAATTAATATTTTTTCATAAGGTGGGAGGCTTTAAAGCTTATCTTAATATATTTCTATTTTTTTATATAGTTAATTCATTAATTTTAATACTATTTGTTATATACCAATTTTTCAACATTATTTCATTCATTTTTCCCATTCACAATTTTCTCAAAATAATTAAAAAATTCTTAGCGATAATTCAAAATTGTCAACATAAATTGAAAAAAATCTAACTTAATCTTACTAATCCCTAAAATTAATTTAAAATTTGTGACTTTAAATGTAATTACAAAAAATTCAAATTTCTGATACATAAAATTTTAATCTAAAATCTTCATAAAACAGTACAACATTTTTTAAATTAAATATAGCAAGAAAAACATCATTACCTATTGAATTCAAAATTACATAAATTAATTAATAAATTACTTACTTCATAGTAATGAAAACATTTAAATATACATTATTAGCAAAACAATGAAATTAAGTGCATTCACAAAATTAACAAATGAAGGCTTTTGAAAGAAAGTATTGAATTATTAAGCCTTCATTCCATCAATGATAATATTTTATGTTTTTCAAACAGCAAAATCAAAATAACTTTAAACAAAAATACTTGATGAGAACTAAATGCTTTTAACATATTTTTCAATTCTGTAGTACTGAAGTAATTGTAATTTTACATATTTATAATGACAGAAAATTATTATGAAACAGTATAACAGATAATTATCTGTTAATCATAAAGCCAAGAAATATGAAGTGGATGAATCTGGATTGAAAGGACTTTCATGTAAACGCAGAGATTTGATCTTGACATCCATGTTAATGCTTGATCTCTTAAACATTAAATAACTGATTATTTACAAAACAATTTTTCTTTTCTAAATATGGTGGTGAAATAAATTCAAAACTGAATTAGCTATGAGCCCCTGAAGTAATTCCACATTTCACTGGAGGTTAGAACTTCTGAACTGAACTTTGTAGATGAACTACACTGAGGCACTGAAGACTTTTCCATTAGGGTCAAGATATAATCACAGGATACTGTCAACTAATTAAATGTACTATTGTTTTGCTATGCATTCTAGTAATAACAGAGCAAGCCTTGATATGGAGAAACATCATCATTATGGATGCACTATGCTTTCCAGAATTTTATACAGCTTGCATCTCTTTAGACAATGGTGATAAACAGTAAAGGCAACAGGTGCATGCTTGTAAGCAACAAATGAAGGAGAAACAAAAGGCTGCACATTAAGAGCAGCAATATTAATAGTAAAATGTTTCTTTAATCTGACTGGATGACAGCCATCCATATTGCACCATGATTACATTAAAAACATTAAACATATTTATTTGAAAAGAAAGTTATAATAAACAATTTAGAACAGAAAGGGACAATAGCCAAATTAAAAAGGACTAGGACAAAATTAATGATTTTCTTTCATGTATATACATCCTTTGTCAGAAAAGTTCTAGGTCACTTTTTTTTATTATTATTACTTCTGAGTTTGCAGTATTAAAAAGGAAAAAATATAGTTTTTATGTTACCTGATATGTATTCTTACTTTATATGATGTTGGCCATGTTTCCACGTAAACTTACTAGGTGGCAGGGCTGTGCTTAACAACACACTGTTCGGATTGTTATCGCATTCATTAAGGTGACACAATGGAAGCTGATTGTAAGCAAAGAGATAACATTAAGTTCTGTGTTAAGCTTGGGAAAACCCCTAGTGAAATGTGGAACATGATTAAGCAAGTGTATGCAAGCAAGGCACTTTCAAGAAGTAATGTTTTCTAGTGGCACAAAAAGTTTCGTGAAGGCAGAGATTCGGAGCAAGGTGATCCCAGAATTTCTGCTGAACTACTGGATAAAGCCAGACGTAATCCCACATTTGTGTCAAAGATTATTTGTAATTTTTTCTTGTATCCATAAGTGAAAAGGTGACTGAAAGGAAAGCTTCATCTAGATTAGATCATCTTCCAAGATCCCCAGAAACACTGGCAGTTGTGTATAGATAGCCAAGGGACCACTTTGATAGGTAGGATCATTACTTGGTAAGTGCAATTTTCTATTTTTTATGACCTTTGCCCTGGAACTTTTCTGACAAAAGATGTATACATATGTATGTATGTATGTTCAGAAAGTATCGAGACTGAATTTATTATGCAAAACAGGTTTTGAGTCAATCTCCTTCGAAATATGCTCCATTGGCAGTAACACACTTGGCCCAACGATGTTTCCAGTTCTCAAAACATTTCTGGAACTCTGACTTTGGGATGGCCTGAAGCTGCTGCTTCGAATTCTGTTTTATGGTCTCAATTTCCTGAAACCGGTGTCCTTTTAAGGTGTTCTTGATCTTGGGAAAGAGGAAGAAATCTGGAGGTGACATATGTCCGGCTGAGTAGGAGAGGATGTGCTACTTGGATTGTTCCGTGTTTTGCCAGAAACTGCTGCAAAAGATTGCTGGTGTGCGCTGGGGCTCCGTCATGATGAAGCATCCAGCCGAGTGGACACCCACAACACCGGTTGTTTTCTGCGAACAGCCTCTCTTAATCTCCTTGTGATGTTCAAGTAGAACTCCTTGTTCACTGTCTGGCCCTGGGGAGCGTATTCTTGATGAAAAATTCCATCTGTATCGAAAAACACAAGCAACATGACATTGATCTGGCTTGACACCTTGCTGTGCTTTCTTTGAGCCGAGGAGACGCTGGAGGCTTTTCCATTGTGACGACTGCTGCTTTGTTTCGGGATCGTATCCGTAAATCCACGACTCATCCCCAGTGATGATGAGCTTCATGAACTCCGGATCATCGCTTGCACTTTGAAACAAATCAGATGAGATTGCCAGTCATTGGAACTGCTGAGCCTCAGTGAGGAGACGCGGAACAAGCTTTGCAGACACTCGGTGCATGTTAACTCCTTTCTCAAAATTTCATCACATGATCCTATGGAAATGCCACACTCCTGTACAATTTCTCGGACTGTTAAATGATGATCAGAGCGCACCACAGCCTGCACTTGTGCAATCTTGTCCTCATTGCGAGAGGTGGCAGGCATCCAGAAAGGGGATCACTGTCCACTGATTTCCGACCCTCCTTGAGTTGTTGGAACCACTCAAAAACCCAAGCACGACTCATTGCCTCATCTCCAAATGCTGTTTTCATCATCTCGTAGGTTTTGGTGCCCGTTTTACCGAGCTTAAAGCAAAAATTGATACAGATTCGCTGCTCTGTATTTTCAGACATTTTCTGTTTTCGAT